CGAATTTATAAAGTAATAAATTTTATGTTTGAATTAAAAGGTACTTTCCTTTTGGTTTTGTTTTAATTGATTCGGTAGCGATGTTATATGAAAAATAATCATAATTATCCTGTTTCGTAAATGAGAAATTATAAAAAAAAAATTACGTCATAATAGCGAGGATAAAATAAATACGATTTCACGTAATTTTCAAAGTCCATCTGTCCTTACGTAAATACGTCAAAACAAACTCATCGCGCACAATAGTATGTGTACTTACTTAATGCGCAATCATTATTTTCGCCTAACAATGTCTATGAATTAATAAAATAAAAGCCAAATGAACAAATGAGTTGATCATAATTCAATACAATTTTTATTTTCTATCATTAATAGGCGCATATTAGAAATTTGGCAAGTGGAAGTTATAAAGCCATAAGTATATAATTAAATCACGATGCTGTAAATATTCGTTCAGGGAAAGATTTTTGTTGTCGTTTTGTTCACATCACTAATTGAAATGTAAAAGTTTAGTTGCCATCGATTGGGCGTCGAATGTAAGGACGAGAGCGGTAAGTCGCGCAATTGATTATTTGTTGCGGCGTTGCAAAAAAATGTTATCGTCGTCGAGTTTTGTGCATGAGTAGGAAAGTATAAACACGCATGAATTATGTCACATTATACGATGTAAAAAATATCGATCGGAATATCAAGCGGTCAGCCACTACATACACAGAGCAGTGGGCTGTATATAGCGAGAAATGGTCATTCGCTTATCGTGTCACGTATAATCAGTAGTAACCGCGAGTATATAGTCGGACTAGCATATATCTCCTCCGTTCATTTGAATAATCGGAGGTCGTGATGTATGCCATTACGGCGGATGTTTGGACTGAACGTTATGAATGCACTCAAAAAGATAAGCTGCTCGACAAATTGCCTTAAGTATAATGAAACTGCTTCGGATAATAAAAATGACGACATTATTATTATTATAGGCGAGTATTTATTTACACTTAAGCTCGTAATTATTGCTTATTTTGTGTTTAGAGACGACGGCTTTAACGATGTTAAATTAGTAACATAAAATCGGTCTGGCATGCCGTGTAATTATAGGTCATTTGTATTTGAAGTTTGAAGTGATTACTTGCCGCCTTTCTTTCTTTCTTTCTATCTTGGCCTAGAGATGGTCAAAGGAGGAGGATGAGGAGGAGGAGGAGGAGGAGGAAAGAGAGAGAGAGAGAGAGAGAGAGAGATAGAGCATTTAAAAAATCTTATATTAGTGCTTGGGTTGAGCAATTTTATTCGTATTTTTTTTTTCCCCGTACAATCTTTCTCGTATATTGTACGGAGAAATTTAACTAAAATGTATTTATATTTTATTCCACTAATCGAAAAATAACCGAATCGTTTGAATCGGTCAATCATTGTAGACCAAATAGCGCGTAAATCTCATAAATTAGTTAATAATAACGGTAAAAAAAATAACGATTATCGTTAAATAAATATCTTCTTATTTAACCAATTAATCTTTGCCAAAGAAAAAAAAAACGATTAAATGCATCATCACTTTTACTTTGATTTGAATTGAGGATGCTAATTTTTCTATCTTGTACTTAAACTTTCTTAATATTGCAGTTAGCGCATTAACTATGTAGAGAAAACCTTTTGATGCCAGAAATATTTCACGATACACATCAGTCTTATTGAATTACATTTATCAATATTAAATGTCGATAATTAAATACGGCGTGTTAAATAAACAATGGCTTAAAAAGCAGAAGTGCATAATCTTTTATAACTGAAATTATAATGAAAGTCGAAGAATTTTGTGGTTTGAGAATTATAAGACGAGCACTACTGTATAGGTAAAATTTGAAAATATTTTTCCAAACATTGTCATAATATTTAGCAAAGCTTAATAATCTACTGATTCCCTATCCATTCAAACTACTCATTTCATATTAAAACGATTGTCATTTTTAATAATATTGTCGAAAAATTACAAATTATAATCAATAGAAGATTATAACAAAACATAGAAGAAAATACTTGATTAATCTTATCGTCGTAATTATTTATATACATATATACATTTATCGTAGTTGTCAAATAATACGAAATTTTCTCTTTATAATTGTTAATTTACTATTTGATTTATACGGTCGTTGCGTGTCGATGCTCTTAAACATTTCCATAAAAATTCTTAAACTATAAGATTTATCGATCAGTCTCATATATTAATGTTGCGATACTTGTTTAGTAGGAATAAATAAAAGTTATAAAGAAATTAACGCAGTGTGTACATCAAGTGGTGAGGCGAGGGAAGCTTTTGTTTTAAATAATTATTTTTATTTTAAAGATCGAGTGCATAGACAAAGATATGGCAAACTCGACGTTAGATAAACTTAAAAACAAACAACGATCGATCCTTCTCGCGTTAAAGCTCGTATTCTCATCTAAATTTTGTATCTCAGCATACGAAAAAGGACGACGATTTATCATTACTCGTCCACACGCCGTTTACAATAACTAATACATAAAAAGATAACTTAATTAATGTCTCCTAGGCGATACCCAACGTATTTCCACGGGATCTCTTATACATCGACGAATCCCTATAAACGCCAGGTTTGGCCAATAACATTGGAACGTCCAAAGAGTCGTGGACGAGAGGATTTATAAATATGTCAGCAAAATGTGAAATTGCGGAGATGAATCAAGACAGACGACGAGCAATGTAAATACGCGTGTATTAGAAATGTAATTTACAATAGTGTCGTCGGCTGAATTGGCAAGAAACCGTTAAATGCGCTGTTGCTCGCTCGTTCGCTCGTTCGCTCGTTCGCTCGACACGGAACTCGGCTGCTCGCTTACGGCCGACTTATGTTTGGGAAAATTCTCATCGCGGATCTAGAGATCCATGAGGGTCCACGGGGCATATTAGGTCGCTTGCTTTTTGTTTAAATAATTGGTTGGCGCGAGACGGTGAAGGAGGAAGCACGGAAAGTAATAATAGGTGGCGTGGCTTGGCTTGGCTTGGCTTGGCTTAGCTTGGCTTGGCGTGGCGTGGCGTCGCATTGGCGAACCTCGTCCCTCCGAGGTACTACCTACGCTACGACACTACGACTACGAGAGGACGGCGGTAGCCGATTATCGGCTACAGTAGCTCCTAAGTGAATTTCAATGAAATTTCGATTCACGTCATGTGTCGTCGTGTCGGATGGGGGAGAAAAACTCTACTGGATGACTGGGTGGATAATGTTTGCGTGGAGGAGAGGTGTTTGATAATGGTAGGGGAACGAATACGAGATACGTTGGTTTCAAAGAAATATCTTTCTACCTGGCTCTCGGGGTGCGGGGTCACGCGGTAACGACACATGTCCTAGTGAATCTTTGCTGAAAAGGTCGTCGCCAACGTCGGACGACGCCTCGTGCCCAAGCGCGACGACGTGTTTTTCGCACTGCGCCACTTTATCCGGCGCTGGAAAAACGAGACAACGAGTCGCGGCTATCGATTTTTAATGGGTACAACGCGTACTCGGCCGTCTTAATCCCAATTGGGGTTCCGACGCAATCGCTCCCCGCGTTTATCGCACATTACAACGACATGTCGACACTGGGTAATGGCTGAGGCTACGAGATTAGCGGCGCCTCGCGATTTTCTCGTGTCGACGATGGCAGTTTCGCAACGAGCGAATGTCATTCGGTCAAAGCTCGTAATTCTTCACGGATCCAATGGACGATATGGCGTCATAATAATGATAATGACAACAACGACAACAACGACAACAAACGACAACAAACGACAACAACAATAAAGTATTATTATGATTAGTAGTAGTAGTAGTAGTAGTAGTAGTAGTAGTAGTAGTAGTAGTAGTAGTAGTAGTAGTAGTAGTAGTAGTAGTAGTAGTAGTAGTAGTAGTAGTAGTAGTAGTAGTAGTAGTAGTAGTAGTAGTAGTAGTAGTAGTAGTAGTAGTAGTAGTAGTAGTAGTAGTAGTAGTAGTAGTAGTAGTAGTAGTAGTAGTAGTAGTAGTAGTAGTAGTAGTAGTAGTAGTAGTAGTAGTAGTAGTAGTAGTAGTAGTAGTAGTAGTAGTAGTAGTAGTAGTAGTAGTAGTAGTAGTAGTAGTAGTAGTAGTAGTAGTAGTAGTAGTAGTAGTAGTAGTAGTAGTAGTAGTAGTAGTAGTAGTAGTAGTAGTAGTAGTAGTAGTAGTAGTAGTAGTAGTAGTAGTAGTAGTAGTAGTAGTAGTAGTAGTAGTAGTAGTAGTAGTAGTAGTAGTAGTAGTAGTAGTAGTAGTAGTAGTAGTAGTAGTAGTAGTAGTAGTAGTAGTAGTAGTAGTAGTAGTAGTAGTAGTAGTAGTAGTAACAGTATTGGTAAGTGTAGTAATAATAATAACGATAATAATGAAGGGGCGATGGACGGTGGATTAAGAATGCGCGGAGCAGACCGAACGCGAGCTGTCGCCGGACTTTCTACGATGTGTCGCGGTGCGCATCGGTGCCTGACAGCGG